TTGGAAATCAAGAAGCTAGACTGTTGTAGGGAACTGGTGTCAAAAAACAATGGGAATGTCTTGTAGGGAAGGCAGCAGGACAACTGTACCTTCAGGGAAAGTTGCTCCTCTGACGGTAAGGTCCTACATAAAATCAGGGAAGCCAGACTATTGGAAATTAGGAAGCCAGAATGTTTGAAATCTGCAGGGAATCAGGAAAACCGGATTGTTGGAAACCAAGAAGTCGAATTGTTGCAGAACATAGGTGCAACAAAAAAAAAAAAGGAAAACTAGCAAAAATGAATGATCCCCCTTTCTTATTTACGGTGGTTGAATGTGGAATGAAGACAGCTGAGAAATAGGTCCCCCTTTTTGGGATTTTGCTACTGCCATCTTTGGCAGAAGCTAAAGAGGATCAAGATATCATGCAAACTGCCTTTTGCACCTTGGCAAGATATCATGCAAGCAGGAACAACAGTAGGTGTATGGTAATTAATGTCGCACTTAAAGCCAGTCGGACATCTCCATTTTGAACCAAGCCAGCTACTAGAATCCACATCTCCCATGCCAACTATCGTATTAGCCTTCAATCCTTATTTTGAACCTCATCTCAATGAAATGGTGGTTCTTTAGAGATTGCATGTATAGATTACATGGAATGTAGCAAGAATGCCAAGATGTATGCTTTGGCTAAATATGACTGAGGATGGCATGTTGGTTTGCTGCCTCATTGCTCTCCTCACACTAACACGTAGTTCTCCATTTGCACCCCTCAAAAAAATTAAAGCATCACCAGCGAGAAGCCTCTTGGAGCCCAAAAGCACACTCCGTCCACTCTAAAGCAGATGCCTTCTGGGTTGACCTATGAAAATATGACGAAAGTGCCACTCAACTTCATGCAAATCCTTTGCCACAAGCTCTTTCGTAGGAGGTTGCCTCGCCATATCCATGGGAAGAAGGGGGAAAATCAAAATTTTGTCTGCTCCCCCTCCATCTGGATCGCAGCTTCGACTCTTGCTGATTTTTTCCGCAGGTGCAGGCTCATGCTGGATTGCAGCTTTGGATCGTGCCCTCCCATTGGATCGCACTCGCCAGGCAGTTGCAGATGCAGAATTGTCGTAGTTTCGCGGGTTCCCTTCAGATCGCGTCTTTGGCTCTCACTAGGCAGTCGTATATGCAGAACAACTGCAGCCCAATGACGTGCATGAAGATCTTGCGATGGCCTGCACGGAGAGAGAGTTCATCCCTTCCCGCAAGAAGGATGGCAGGGAGTCTGACGGCTCCTGAAGGACCACCGGTGGTTAGGGCAAAAAATTTGGCCCATGTGCCACATTGAAATTCAGAATAATACAAAATAAAGTGGAATTATTTTATTGATATGAAATGTGGTATAAATAACTCTTACATGAATCCTAGAATAGAAAAGATGATAAAAGAAAAGATATATCACCTAATATCTGCACTAATCAAATCATATTATTTGGAGATAAAATAAATAACATAAAATTGAAAAGCCTAAAATAGAAAATAAAATAACTTCTAATCAAGGAAATAAACATAAAATAGGAAAAATAGTCATTGTAAAGTACAGACTTGATACAATGTGACTCAACTATACTCCCCTCATTAACATATCTAAGTGAATGCGTTGTTACTGAAACAAAAAATCATGCTAGAAAAACACAGTTTTATGTGAGGAAAATGCCAAACTCATCATACGCCATCACCATTAGTAGTAGGTTATTCAAGCTCATTATGAGTAAGCGAATAAACTCGAGGTCGAACAGGTGGCTTTGTTTGAACTTGGGTAGGAGTTGAAGCTTTAGAATCTATCCTTTTCTGCCCACCTGTAGTTTTCTATGAAAGAGCTCCACCTCATTTCTGATTCTCTGTGTTATTTTGGCTAAGTGATGGACAATATCTTACTATTTGACTGGGTTGATGACACCAGTAGCATGTCTTTGAGCTCATTAATCCTTATGTTGTCTTCCAGATTTGACATGTGAATATATTACTCTGAGTTGTACCTTTGCTAAATCCACTTGAGTCGAACGTATACTTTTTCTCTTTGGATTCTTTTGAGTGATCTATATGTTTTACTTCATCAATACTCTTCCTCTTATGTGTCTCCTTACACTTCTGAGTAAGCTGATATTCGACCTCCACTCTCCTAGCTCATTCTACTAATATTGAGTATTCATCGATCCCCAAAGGCATCGACAACCGTCTGACTGAATCATTTAATTCCAAAAGAAATCGTAACACTGTTTTTCTACAGCTGCGATCAACTGTGGCACATACCCTGACAATGCAGTGAATTCTACTTCATATTGCGTGACTTTTCTCTCTAAACCAACCTGATAAATTTGTCATGCATTTTCTTCGAGCAGATTGTGATACGAACCACTCTCTAAATAGCTCTACAAACTCCTCCAAATATACTATCAAGTTGGGTATGTACCCTAGTCTATCCCGACGCTGCACCTGCCACAAATTTTTAGCGTCTCTATTCAGCTCAGATGCAACTAATGACACTTATTTCATTCGGACAAGCCATATTATCTACTATCTTCTCAGTTCGCATCAGACAATTTTCTACTTCAGTTGAATCTTCAGTTCTCTTAAACAATGTTGTACTTAAAGCTTGGAATATCTTTAATTATTTATCTATAACGACTGTAACATTTCCAATTGGCTGCGATCTGGATTACTGAATCAGTTGAGTCATGACGACCATCAGCTGGGTTTGGACATTTATGCTCACATTTATGGTAGTCTGTATTTCATCGTTTTCTATTGGACTCCCTTCTATAATTTTGGATATATCTCGTCAGTATAAATATAATTATTAATTTGAGTTAAATTAAATTTTAATTTTTTTTTATTTTTAAAATTTTCTTATAATTATTCTCTTAGCTTTTTCATTAAGATTATATTAATTAATCTTAAATTTTGTCTTTGGTATCACTTTTCATTATCTGGCCCGGGTATTGGATTAATTAAGGCGGGTACAAAAAGTCTGATGGCGGAAATTAAGTTTTCTATATTGATTTTATATAACTAACATTTAATAAATTAAACGGTGACTAATGAAATTAAATTAAAACAATATAATTAAATTTACCTCATTAAAGGTTATTCACGTCTTCTATAAAGAATTTCTCTTTTATTACCTTTCTTTTAATCAACTAATTACACCCAAAAAATTAGTTTAAAAGTGAGCTAACCAAAACCAGTGAATATTCACTCCTAAATTAGAGTAATACAAGGAAAAAAAAATAATATGCTTGTCGATTAAACTTTTAATACATCAGTATAAAACATTTAATAGTTTAAGAATATGATCATTTACGATATTTCATGCTATTAAATGAGTTTTACTATATCAATAACATATCTATATTATTTTTATATATGTATAATAGTCACAGAAGCATTGTATAATAATTGCATCAATTAAGGTACTCTAATATCAGTATTTTTTTATTTACATGCTCGGGTATCTAAGTGTTCTTCTGCTTGTATCATAATGAGGTGATTCAATCATAGTCAAACGTATATATACAAGCATATATTTATATATATAATAATCACTATCATTCATATGCTTATCTTATGTCATACAACATAATATATGCATCTTTAAATAATATGTTATAATTTTTATCAAATAGAAACCTAACATTCAGATATGAATAAAAGGAAGGGTATATACAACAGTATAAACTGATGCATGAATTTTTATAGATATCAATAACTATCAAACTCGTTTAATCTTGTCTCCAATAGTTAACTGCTAATAATATCATGAAAATATAATTTTAAGTATATCATTAATTATCTCTTATTTACTTATGTTACTTTAATTGTTGATTAAAAGCTTTTATTTTAAGTATTCATATTATTTTAATTTGACAAGCAAAACTAAAATTAAATCATCTCTAATTTATATTAAATTTTCTTACTTCAACTATTTTAAACTAAAAAATTGCAAACTTTATTTTCATATTTTGAATAAATCTTTTATATCACTATTATTATGATATTAAATGGTATTAATACATGTATATATCTTAAGTATTTTATTTTATTTAATATAACCTTGATAACTCACCTTAGCTTCAACCTGCATGCTCTTCCCTTTCCCTTCTTTGTCTCGATCACACATAATCGAGTGTCACTGCGTAAGAGCTTCTCCTGCTCTCGTTCGTCCTCCTTTGCGCTCCCACGTCACGAGAGCTTCTGCTCTCTTCTGCTATGACTCGTCAAGCGTAGTGGCTTCACATGGCAGGAAAATTCGCTTGATGGTTCTTGTTCTTTTATTTGCATAGAACACAGTCGCACAAAATATCTTCCTGTTTGCGAAGCTAGACTACTCAAGGGGGAGCTTCCTGCTCGACAGCGACGTAGTCGTCTTCCTTGCCTGTTGTCTGCGTCGATCGAAGACGTAGACGCCGACACCTATGGTCAAGTGAAAGCCCTAGCTTACGCTTTTCATTTCCCGCACTCACCGTTCGAATCTCGAGGTAAGCCGTTTCTACCTCTCAATCTCACCTCTACCTCTCTCACATGATAATTTATAGAGCGAACGTATCCATCTGAGTCCCCGACTGTTCGCTTCGACTCCAAAAACCAATTTCCATGCTAAAAAAATGATCAAATTACTTTCATATTAATAATCTTTGAAAATTAAATCAATGATATGTACAAAATAACGTAGGGCTCTTTTAGCGTTACTTTTTTTTGTTTTTATTTTTATTTTTTCATTTATTTTCAAAAACATATTTGGTTGATATAATTTTTTATATATTTTTATTTTTATTTTCAAAATAAATCAACTTGTTTTAAAAATACTCAAAACTCATAAAAGATATTTTGAGTGTTTTTAAAAACAACCACCTCAACCAAACATGTTTTTTGGGTTTGTTTACATTTTGAATGCAAATCACACTTCTTTTTAACTTACATTACTGTCTTTTATATATAGTTAAAGTTGATAATTATGTCTGTCCTGTGTGCAGGAGACATTTTCTACAATGCCATCAAGGTTTGTTAAATAGACATTTTGAGAAACTTCTCCAATGTGATCCACGTCTGAAAGCACTAAATCAGCAACCAGAGATTGTGTTGGAGTCTTCATGCTTTGAACCATCATGCTTGGAGGACCAAGATGAGTCCAAGGGCCTTGGGTTTGAGAATATGAAGGACAATCATGGATCCTCTGCTGGATTCCTTGATTCCAAACTACCCCGTCCAAAGACTGAATCAAGGGATAAAGTTGACCCAGTGCTAGATCTTTCAGCAAGGCAAATGCATTTCGATGATTCAGGTAATTTGTGGTCCTGCATAAATCAAATTGATTTTACTTGCGTTTACTATGGCTTGATATGGTGAATCTGATATATTGCATAAAAGAATTTGTTGGGGTCCAGTTATTCCTCATTACATCTGTGCTAACCTTTAAAGTTCCATGACTATGCAAGTTGTTGGCTACATGAATCTTTTTTCTCCATCATCCTATTGAGCGTCATATTTTCATTTAGCTCTAGATAACTTTTTATACAACATGCCTAAGTCTTTTTAGCTCTAACTCTACTTTTTTTATCATAATTCAAATATAAAACATCCACTTTTCGAACTGGGATCATCAGATGGTTGACTTTTAATGTGACCAAATCATCTAAGGCGACTCTCTCTAATTTTGTCTGCCACTGGAGCGGCCCCAACCCTTTCATGGATATATTAGTTTCACATTTTGTCTCTAACTGTAAAGCCTCTTGCCCACCTAAGCATTCTCATTTGAGCAACACTTAACTTAGTTTTTATGCTTCTCTTTTATAGGCCAACATTTGCACCATAAAGCATTGCTGGTCTCACCACCATCTTATAAAAGTTTCCTTTTAAGTCTAAGCGTGTTGACCTCAATTTTTCGTGAGGTCTAGTATTCCTCGTAGGAGTTAGGATCTAGCCTTAGGGGTTTTTCTGCGACTATATTAGAACCTTAGAAGTGGGACC